GGGCTTTGTGCATGTCAGTGCATAGTGGAACAACTTACACAGAAAGCAGTTAGAGAACACCCCATGGGACGTATGGGTTTGATCTCCCTCCAGTATGGGAATTTGCTCGTGGTCTCCCATTTCGTAGATGCATATTTGAGTCAGTAGAGTACCAAGCAGGCTCCCGCTCTGCTAAGGGAAAGCTTAGACATGTTTTCTGAAAGGCTTCTACTCCTTCCTACCCTAAGAAAAGGGTTCTGGGCTGTGCAATGAGCAGAGAGAAATCTCCCTGCAGAGCCAGCAGGTTGGCCTGGGATGTCTAGTATTTCACACAGGTAAAAGGTGCCTCATTCAGGATTCTGGATTCCAATAACCTTAAACGTAGGCACCCAGGAACCTGATGCTTAACTTCTGAAGTCACATATTGGGTCTGGTCCAAAACCTCTGTCACCTGATGTGATCTTCATGGGAAAATCAAGATACGTAATCCCAAACTCCCCCATTGGTTCAGACAGCTACACAGAAAAATAATGGTAATAAATTAAATAGACTTGGAAATAAACTAAACCGAATAACTAGTAAGTATCAACAAATTCATGGATTTAACAAGAACAGCTAACTCTTCCTTTTAAGGTAAAGCTTGGGGAAGATCATGATGTGAATATGACTGTTAGGATAATAATTTCACACAAAGACAGGGCATCTCTGGTCTCTGACAGTTACAATTTCTATTAGATGTGTTCTTAACTTTTAAAGGATTTGATTTCTGGCAATTCTAAATGTTTCCCATCACTCTCCCTCTGACATTTCTATAAAACTTTTAGTTTAATTTAAAATGTTTTGGTGCCAGAGACTGCTGCTTGTGTAATTAATACTGTAATTTGGGGTCTCCCCTGCGGTCACCTCTTATTTAAGTAATTCATAGCCATTACATGGCTGCTTTTCAAAATATCTTATTATCCTTCATGTTTACTTAATAGTTTTCAGTGCATACTTGTCATTGTGTTTCCTTTTCTCTGCATTCAGTAAATATTTGGATTAAGTTAATGTTGACCTATATATTGATATAGGGCTCAAGACACAAGTGGACTTAAGACCTCTGACCCAAACCTGAATTTGTCAGTGTTCAAAATCTTTGCTCTGCTGCAGCCTGACCTGAAGACACGTAAAAGCCATGGACTTTAAAAACTTTTGAAGTTTCTGAGGTGTACTAAATCTCATTAGGGACAGGCTCTTACGTGTTTTAGTTTTGACAGGGAAAAGCCACTTTTTGATAATCTTTTATTTGTTCCTTGTTGGGATCCACATAGCAGGTGCACCTTTGCTTCAAGAGCGTGGTGTTTACAGGTACGTGCCCAACACACATTTAGAGGAATGCTGATAACTGACTGTGAGCAAAAACCTAAAACCAAGCATGAGTCTAACCTTCTGTTAGAGTATGTGCTTGGTGGAGTCCCGGTCTCCTGTGACCGCCTGTGTGTCTTGCAGTTCATAACCTGCAAATACAAGGAGTTGAGTATGCTACTCAGAAGACTTCTAATCACTACATGAGTGACAAAAGGCAAAGCCAACCATCCTTCTCAGCTAAAGTAAATCTCCTTTGCTGCCTCTGCTTCAGAGAAAGCTTGAAGCTGTTGGTTCAACAAGTGCAGGTAACTGTTCCAGACCTGAGATCATTCCACACACAAAAAACAGTTCTCAGAAAAGCAATCGATAATGCTTCAACCCCAGAACACACTATGGCAGACTTGGAATTCAATTTTTTTAACTCTGATCTGCTGAAAGATAGGGATAGTGCCATATCTGCATCACTGAACTGCCCAGATGTCCCTCTGAAGTGTTTTGCAGAAGGGTTTGGCAATTCTTTCGCCATTTCTTAAGATGTGGGCTTGGATGTGAGCTTAAACAATAGAGGAACTGAATCTGTACCTCTGACACCCTCTTGGAGCATGCTGACGATTTGGGCAAAAGGGAAAAGAACCGTATGCTTATCTTTTTTCAACTTTACCTGATAAAGGAGAATATACTGCCTCTCTTTAATCCTTTGTCTCATTTATACCCTGTCCAAACTTCCATTCTCTAAATAGAAGGCCAATCAATCACGTTGCCTTTGCCATAACTCACTGATGACTGAATCAGTGGCATGCACTAAAAATAGGCCTTTTAGGCAAAGTAGTCCTTACATAAGCAAATATGTCCTCTCATAGCACATACACAAAATGTGGGAACGAGTCAGAAAGGCTACTTTGGTTTCATACATTCTTCATACCTGGCTTTCCAACTCAGCTCAGCTTAGCTCAGTCAGTTTCCATTGAAACTTGGTTTGTATCATCTCCCACTTCTTTGTGAAAGATCCTTCTTGTGGTTCAGAACTGGAGTCTGTACATCTACTGCAGATTTCAGTGACCAGGGCTGGAAGAATAACTGATACCAATACTTAATTATTCTGTTTATGGACCAGCACAGAAAGAAGATCAGATATGATTTGCCAAAGGATTTTGTAGAGGTAAATAACAACTGAGAAACACTGAAAAAGGGATCCTGGGCTCCAGCCCAGACTCTGAATATTGCTGTATGTCTAAAACAGTCCCAACTTGGTTTAGACAATTTTTTTCCTAACCCTATTCTTGTGGAAGACTTGGCTTAGCGAGCCCCTTCAGCTTCGCCTTCCCTCATTAGCAACACTTCCTTTTTCCCTCCTTAACTGGTGTCTCCTTCCCCATTCCCTTGTTCCAGTCTCTTTGCCGAGTCCGTTGCTGTCCACCCCACTCCTCATGCAGCCTCAGTACTCCCCATCTTCCATTTCATCCTCCAGCTCTCAATTTCAGCCCCAGATCAGTCTCCTTTTCTGTTTCTCCCCATTCTTCTTCTGTCCCAGCTTATTCCTTTTGCGTTTTTTCATCCCAGTTCAGCTTTTATCCCCACTGCAACGGAATGTGTCAGGCTAGACCTATAAAAGTAAACTACACTGTGCCGGGTGTCCCACAGCTGTCTATACCCGCTCTCAAAATATTTCTGGGCACAATGTGGCAGTCAGTGCAGGTCAAGGACTATCTCCACATGACAGGTTAGATGTAGCAAGCCTGCTTTGAAAGGCAGCTGAGAAGGGAAACGTAGGCATACAGACGTGACCAGTGCCACGTCTATCAACCTCAGAGAGCAGACTCTGGACTATGAAGACGTGTAGTGACCTCTATCCATGGCTCAAATCCACTGAAAGCATAAGAGAATTGCCTGCCAATGAGTTCTAGCATCCAACCCCACAAAGCTCAAAGATGGTAAATCTAGTCATACTTCTGCATCTCCGAGGTGGAAGACATCAAGTATTTCGTTGGACTGACATAGGCATAGTTGCTCAAGGAGACTGCTCAATAAGGAGAGAGTTACTGGAGAGTTTATCAGCAAAGTTTTGGAAAAACTTTGTAGAAAATGCACAGATTAATTAAAAAAAAATCATAAATTTAGCCCCCCCCTTCCAAACTTTGGCATCCAATTCAAAAGTGGAATTTTTGTAAAGAAGGTGTCACCAGATGTTTACTTATCATGCAGAAAATAATGCATGACCTCATCATTTGAAAAAGGTGATTTTTTTTGTTGAAATTTCAAGTAAGCTCAACTTTAAGGTAGGACAGGAGGAAAATTTTAGGAGTCTGCTTTTGAGAATTGGTTGGCAACTTTAGTTATAGACAGAGCTATCATTGTCCAGGTTTGATTAGGGAAATTCACTTTACAAAAACTGAGAAACTGGTGTTTTATTGTAGCAACGGCAAGGAGGAGTCGTGATTAATTCTGCAGTAGTGATAGAGATGTATGTGGACTAGGCAAGAGAATAAAGCCTGTGAAATCAAACTGAAGATACTTTTTGAGAATTTATTGCAAAACTTCAATTCATAGAAAACCGAGGTAACCCTAACAGGAGCAAAACTCAACTCAGTATTGCAGAAGGAATAAGAAAAATCACCGGTGAAATAATTTGTGAAAGTACAACCATATACCGTTCATTCTTTAAATCTGTTCAAATTTGTACATGTTTCCGAAAGAAAGACTGGCTTAGTCTGTTGGCAATCCACAACTGTTTTGAAAGCACTATTGAAACCTGTGTAACAGAGTATGACGTTCCTATGAAAGACGCAAGACCCCTCCCTCCCTCTCTGATCTCATTTGAAGCATGACAACATCAAATTGCCACTGCTAATGCGCAGGCCCCCAATGTACATTGAGTCTCATTTTTGTATGCTCTGAATTAGCTTTCCATACCCTTTTCACTACAGATTTGTCGATGCCAAGGACTCCTAGCCTTGAGCATCCAGTATTAAATTGTACATATGAACCAACAACAGTTATAAGTTATAAGACATCATTTTAAAATGAAATGTGCTTGCTCTTGGACGTTCTACAGTCTGGAGACGATCTGCAGTTTGATCTCCGACAAACAATTTCAGCTTCAGACAAAAACATTTGGAATGTCAAGAGACTACTGAAAGTTTTCAGAACAGCCTTATGAACATTAGTGTTGTAACTCAGCAAAACCCATTAATGATTCCCGTAACATTGAATATAAACATGCATCAGCGTGAACCATGATTGATAATTTCAAGTTGCGATATGGCCATGTATTTCCAGCTACTACAGAAACAAATGGTTGTGATCATTCACAACACAATATTGCACAATGTGGAATAGAGTGCCTCTTTTTAATATGTATAAGGAAATTCTAAATGTACGATGAGACAAAAGCAGATATATTTATTTGAGTGAATTTATAAGACATGTTAAAGCTACTTTTTAATAAAATAAAAACCTGATTACCAGATAAGAAAATCTTCTGGAAATGCTTTCGCTTTTCAAAACGTTGTACAAATTCCCTGCTGACAATCTTATAAAACACATACATGCTGCAAAAATGAAACATACAACAGGAGCAATGAAGGATTACCTCAGCTTTCACCACCACTTCACTTGATTGAAACTGTTCTCATGTTCCATTAAGTATAATAATATATTTGGAAAATGTAAATAACCTAATTACATTTTCTTGTTTCAAGCTGCCAGGCACCAGTCATATATCGCAGTCGTATAAAAAGAAGATCCCTGCCCATCTGCAGCCAGCTCCAAAAGGGAACTAACTTAGAACCTGTGATTAATGAAGAAAAAAATCAGAAAGACGTTGTTAGAAAAAATGAGCATTGGCAAGACACGCATTTAAGTAGTCATGAACCTCTGCATTCTCAGCACATTCAGACCCACAACCTAGACCTTAACATTAATAAAAATATTATATTGTGAAAGTTATTGCTTTATAGTAATTACATTATTAAGTGGGAGATGGTAGTCTGCAAGCAGCACAGTAATTCCATGTATGTCACAAGATGTGTAGTCCTCTCTGCGACAAGGCTTTGTTCAAGCAAATAGGAACCTGAACACCACTAGTTAAGCAAATGATTTCTTAGCGGTTTTGGAGAAGAGGACCACCACATTGTCTTACAGCAACAATAATCTGGATGTGCCAATCTTCAGGCAAGGTAAGGAACCCACACTATGAAACCAAGCCCTCTTCCATCTCTGCTAACATTTGTGTTAAATGCAATATACATGTGGAACTGCATAGAAAGAAAATATTTCTTTTCCAGTAAAGTTGGCTTAGGATGTTCTCTACTTGCACCCTTCATCACCATTGTAGCTCATTATACTTTCTGTTGCTCAGGGGTTGTGTTGAGGAGAAGAAATTCAGATTAAAAAAGAAAAAAGCTTGAGAGGGAAAAAAAAAAGGAACTTCCTTTGATGGGAGGGAGGAAGTGAGCAGAAACAAGCAGTACCTCTTAAGCCGGCTTTGCTATGAAGAAGTATGTATGGAGCTATACCTTCCAGTAACCCACTTAGACCTCCCTACAGGTCTGAAAGAACATCACATCTTGAGAAGAGAGGGTGCCCTAGAAGAGGCCTTAATAGGTGGGCTGAGAATTTTGAAAGGCAAGACACAGTGAAATGGAGCTGAATCAATAAACAACGATGGTCAGACTTCCTGCACAGTGTTTTACAACTGCGATATTTTTATTAACACATTACAGCAAGAGGACGTGCCAAAGTAGTGCTTTGTCATAGCAATTTAACTACCTACTTTTGTCTCCAGTGGGAGTGCTGAGTTTCTCTCCCTTGCTACCCCTTCACCCACTCTTCCTGTACCATGCCATGGCAGAAGGCTGGCAAGGACATGAAATTCAAAATTTGCATGGAAAGAAGGTAGTGTGTTATCAAAACTGGGTAAAATATGGGAAGACCCTTGGATATTTTATTCTGGATTGACACATAAGGAATCTTACAAGAATATAAACAATCTTCCTACCTTCAATTTCAGTCCAGTTGACAGCAACTTCTGCTATAGGTATTCTCAAGTGCTGAGCTATATAAAGAAGTTCCACATCAAACGCCCTGAAGAAGAACAGGAAATAGTAAATACAGTCACACTTATTTCCAGAAGAAAGATGGTGGGACTGTTAATTAAATCCCTAGCCTGATTTAAGGAGGTTAGTGTTCAGTTATGAAGTTGATACCAATGCTCTACAGGTCAGATGCACATGAAAGGGAAATTAATTTCCCTGACGGAACGGCTCAGAACACAGCCAATATGCAGACAACAATACTTCACTGCGTCCTGGTTTTGAAGGTATAGGTCACGCTGTGTTCAGACCACTGCTCACTTTTCATTCTGCCATAATCATGATTTAAACATTTTTAAAGACCAAGCAGACAAACATGCCGTGTCAATCTATATCTCTACTAGTTTCATCAAAGGGGACAGACAACTACCTGCTGTGGCTTTACACTGATTTCTCTTGTACTTTCTAAATCAAGAATAAAGGCAGCAGCACATTAGTGAGAAATAACTTATGTTACTGTGCATAACAGAACCTGAACAACAGCTGTACTTTACCTGGTGACCATTTAATGTACAACACAAAACCCCTCTTGAGAGACCCATCTTTTTTGCTGACACAATTGTTTGCAGGTTGTGCAGCAAAATGAACTGGGGAAGTGATCCTACTCTAAGTCAGCTGCCCCCTCCTGCCCAGTTTGTCCAAAATACACTTTAATCCTCTCAGTTCTCTGCACAGAGAATTGTTTGCGTGTTTCATTCTTTCAACTGCATGCTCAAGTGGGCCTTTGGGATCTGAGACACTTAGGCTTTTGATATTAGAAAAGTGTTTTGGCAACTACAGCTTGTGATGCTCATATAGATATCAGCATATGAAGCTACCAGTAGCTACTATTGACAAGGGTGAATGCAAATCAAAATTATGAAGACTCTGGTGATTTTGGTTGGATTTCTTAGATTTATTGATTGCTGGGTCTCCCCCCTCCCCACCCTCCCTTTGTAGTCTTCAAATGCAGTAGGGATACTCTTGCTCCTTAAATGAGTTCTAGTAATTGGAATTTAAGCTAAACATCCCCCTGCCCCTCCCAGTAAAAAGCTTTTTAAAAATACTAATCTGTATTGGAAAAAACTGTCAATGGTCATCCACATCTGATTTCTACTAGATTCAATACATATTCAAACGCAAAGGGGGTTTTTTCCCCCACAGAACTAAACCCTGAAGGTTAAGGTTTAGCCAAGCTGTTGGTAAGGTTTGCAGTTTGAAGTCAATGGAACAGATGTTCCAAACCAGCTTACACAGATCTTGCGAATGTGGCTGCAAGGCAGATACGTACAATTTAAGACTAGCCTACATTTTCTCGCAGTAACTTCCTAGGTTCAGAATCTCCTTTAACTGTCATTGCTAAGTCCAAGACAATTTTTAGTTTTAATGAAAAAAATATTTTGTCACTGGAGAAAATGTATGCAATAAAAAAATAACATTATTTGTTCATGCTTCCAGGGTTGCTTGAGTTCAGGTCATTGATAATCCCATTTATCATTACAGAAAGGGTAGAAAGGGACAGACAGGTGATCAAGAGCAGGCAAAAAGACATACTTTAGCAGGTTGCTAGCCAAGTTCCTTCTACTTCAAGCCATCCTCTCCTTTTAAGCAGTGCAGTGCATTTCTGCAAAACTATTTATGAATGTAACAACAGAAGTCCACTTTGAAATGTGCACTTAGGTATGACACATACATGTAGGTTCCCAGTGAAGTACAGACCACAGCGTGCTGGCTTGCTAGTGAAACCATTACCTAACAGGCATCAACCTGAACTCGCGCTGTACGTGTATGTTACAGAAGAGCTGTTGATATCCCTCTGGACAGCATTGAAACATGCAAAGGCAGCATCAACAGAGGTTATCTACAGAGACTACAGTTATTGCATAAAGAGAATTTAGAACCACTTTGTAAATATGATTTTGATTAGGACACAGGCCTTTTAATTGTCACAAAAAAGTTACAGGAACAAATGTTTGAGTTTTTTTACCTCAGAGAACTGAATGTGCTCCAAGCAGCCTTGCCATTTCACTGTTTTCTTTAAACGAGGGTTGAACATTATTTTATTAATTATGCCATAGTCTCTTCTACTGAAGTTGTATTATTTATTTTTTTTGCTGACATTTTAAATTTGTAAACCAAAACCCCCATGTATTCACCTTTGAATGTTTATGAGTCATATGTATTAAGACTAAATCTAATTTTGTAATACTTACTACTTAACTGACTAAAAATCTTAAAAGACACAGAATAATTGTCTGATGAATTATACTATATGTGCTGCTCTAAAAATATTACTACAGAAAGTATTAGCCTAGTGAACTAATAGTTATTTGCAACAATTCCTATGGACAAACGACTACTGGAATGTCAGCATATACATCACAGTACAACAACATTAAGTAGTCCGGTGAGCTACAGTGCTCAAAGTAAAAGATTAAAAGCACAAGAATTAATCAGGTTGAACACTAATATTGTTACATGTGGTTGCCATTTGTGTAACAGTGAACACATCCTGAAATTAAAAAAACCCTATTCAAAGCTGAAAGGAGAATGACTTTTGTAGTATACGGCTGGGATACCGTTTTTCCTCCCCTGTTCCCCACCACCTTTCAGTACACCTCATACCCATACTAGAATAGTTAATCAGGGAATACTGATCACAGTGTATTCAATGCACTGATAGCACCCACACTACACATCACCAGATCCAGATGGTACAGAAGAACCGTACAGAAGTTTCCACAGTCAGGATTTAAGCGTGGCTATGTTAGCTGGAGCCTACCCTAGAGGAGATCAAAGCAACACCAGGGGATGAGTTGGTGAGTGCAGTACATGTGTTTTGACATGAAGCCATTTGTGACTAGTTAACATCTGACAAAAATTCACTGGATCCTGCTGCAGAGAGTGAAAGTAGGCACCTCAGGGGAGCGGGGACACAGCTCAGAATACCTGAATTTGGCTCCAGCTTGAATGAATTCAGGCTCCAGTCTAAGTACCAAAAGTTAAGACACCCAAAAATATATGGTGCAAACAACTGCCCCATCTATTTCTAACCGAGGCTCCATTATGTGTTAATTAACGCAAACATGAAGTGTAAAATACAGAAGGAGAAAAACTTCACCATGTGGCTGTGTTTACGCTAAGAAGTACGTTTGGTTAAGCGACAATTTAAGAGATGCTGGCTAAAATTCAGTTGAACATCAAGTTGGTAGGTGCTTAATTGAATTCAACCCTTTTAAACTGAACACTTAAAATGCTTTAGCTTACAAAATATCTATCTCGAAAAATTATCCCCTATTTTAAAATTGCACTAGGACTCTTTTTAGCTGCTCCAATATTGTTTCAAATGTCAAAATTAGGCCTTCAGTTGTACTGTTGTAACTAGAATTTAGGACTTTTCTACACCCAAGATACATTGTTCCAGCAAACTCTTAATGGGCAGAGAAAACTTTCAATGGCCAAAGAGGTCTAAGAATGAAATAGGATGTCAAGAGGGTCAGACTGGCAGTACTGCTCTAGCGGTACTGGGGCTTTTGAAAGCCCACATATGTCTGCCAGAAGCAGGATTTTTTACAAGACAAAACAGACACAGTTACAACAGCAAATATTTTTGTGTTGATTAGACGTTTGTAAACAATTCTACTTGTGCACAAAACCAGGAAAAAACAATTAATTCCACCGCTGGTGTTGGTTTACAATGCCAAAGGAGCAGAAAAGAAAATCCCTGTAGCAACATGAATGCTTATTTTTCTGTGATTTTTATACAGACTCACATTTAGAGATTAGTGACAAACTGGAGAAACAAACATTAATTTTTTATATTGAGCTTTCAAGTTTTAAATGTGAAACACTTGTTCAGTGCACAGGGCAATTTTTATAGACAAAAGTAATAGCAACAATTTGATCTAATCAGTGATCTGCTGAGTTGTGTAATATCATTATAAACTGCCCCTCTGCAAAAGTATGTCAATCAAACCAGGACTAGAATTATAGTTTGAATTTCCCCTCATTTTATGAATATTCCAGGTAGGACAGTAACTGCTGCTATGCCTAGTTCTCCTAGGTAAGGAAAGACGTTTTCTGGCTGGAAGAAAATGTATGATTTTTTTTTTTTTTTTTTTTTTTAGTCAGAGGACATCAATGACCAAATTTAGGACAGGTAAATTCTGCCAGTGGGACTGTTTAATTTCCTGGTTTTCCTCCTGTGCATTAAAATTTAGCATAAACAGCTACATTTCCCAGGTCAAGACTGGAGATGCAAAACTAGAGCTTATTTTGGAGTCTGAAAGTGAGTAATTCCAACTGTCTCTATTACGTTTTTAAAATATCCCTTTTAATTTTCTTTTAAGTTTTAATTTAAAAAATGTGCTCCATCCATTTCTGAAAAATAGATTAGTGGTGTAATCAGATTCAGAACCTAAAACGCAAAGCATATGCTCTGTGTTCAAAAGGTTGCTCTCATTTCAAACTAATGTCAAAACTTTGCTATTTAGAAAGTAGATTTCAAGAACGTTTGGTTTGTATTCGTACATACACAGCCAGCTCTCCAAAGGACAGTTAAACAATGAAGTCAACCAGAACACTCACAAAAAAACCCTAATTTAGGACATAAGCAGATTTCTTAGCATCAAATATATAAACAGTTTCCAGTACCTACTAATTTCCAAACGCTTTCTAAACTTCAGTGTTAGATTAACAAAATATTCTAGGAAATATCTTGGTATCTCTTTAAAAAAGTGTTAAAAGATCCTTATCACCATAAAGATAAAACAGTATTTTTCCTTGTGTATTTCAGTTTGCTTTTAAGATTTCCTAAATATAAGCATCTATAAATCAAATTCAGCACAACAAGAGGAAAACCGTGGTCTCAGTTTTCAAGTATTTTTAACATTAGAGAGGTGATATTCAATTCAATCTCAACTGAAATAGAAAGTGCATGAAGAAAGCAGAAAAAATTGAAGGTCTCAGCAATTAGTTTTTCATTCCTAATGCAGGTGATATTGGGTATTTCCTTATGACAAAAATAATATTGAAACTATCAGAGATGCACACAAGATCATATAAAGGAAGGTTGTGATGTTTTCCCCTTCTTTTTCACGTGAATATGGAAACACAAGACTCCATTTTATTGGTGGTGCTGGTGAAACGCTGAAAACACCACATGCATTTATTTTTGGTGTATCTGATAGTTATTTAAGTACCGAAACTTAGAAACCTTTCAGCCTGTCCAACCTAGTGGCAGGATACATATGTTGTTTACATTGACGTATCTATTACTAGAGCGTAAGATGTTCGGCTTCCAAGAAGAGACTGTGCTCCTAACGCCCTTTGAGTGATGCATTTTATCAGCCTGCTGAGAGACACAGAAATAAAACCTGTATTATTTCTTGAATATGTACTGCTCCATCTTTTGGAGCAGTATTTACAATATCCAGCATTTCAGGGCAGTCTCCTACTGCCCAGTGCTAACTCAGCACTGGTGCTTTCTTGTACGCGACAACACTACAGGATTGCTTTATCCAACGTGAAGAATTCTTGGGGCTTTTTTCTACAGAAACAACGGGTGCTGCCTACACATCCCAGAAAGAGAGCTGCCTTTGATACAAAATTGCTTCAGTAGTTTTTCTTCTAACCCACTATCAGGATTTACTAAATAGTTTACCTTTTTGATGCAGCTGAGGCACCAGCAACCTGACACGTTTTTTCCTACACGTTACTACGCCACGAGTCGAATTT